CTGCAATCCTCTCTGCCTTCTGGGTTTATAGAAGTGGCGAAAGCCTGGCCAGGATAGCAGCATGAATTCTGGATGTACCTGTGGGTACCAACTGTACTAAGGTCACCTGACACTTCCCATTCAAAGATCCTAATATCACCTGCATACAATTTTGACAAACCTTAAGTCTTCAGGCTGAAACTGGATATCAGCCTTAGTCTTGATAGTCTTTTTCTGTTTATTTATTTATTCTGATTTCAGCCAAGATGGTTCACTTTGTTTGCAATACTGAAATCAAGGGAAAATGTGTTATTACATTAGAATCTTGAGAACTTTCCTTAGGAAAGCTCAACTCTCCTCAGACTTTGGAGAAAAGACTTGAAATTTCATAGAGAAGTGACCTACTTGTAAGACTTGACAAGGACCTCTCCCCACCTCCATGAATACACACGTGCACATACCTGCACAGACACACACACACACACAGTTTTACAGTTTGTGGTTTATCAACCATTGCTATATGTTATGATATTTTTTCCATGTGACCCCACTCCTTACAGGGTGCAGGAAAGGCAGTATTCAGGTAATGAACAATCATGTCATATTTCAGTGTTTCCTTAATGCTGGATATGTGTCCTGCTCCTTTCTGTACTGTGTGTTATTCCAAATCTCCTTTGACAGTAGAGTTATTAACTTCCTCAAAGCCTTTCTTTGGATCTTGTCATTAATATTGCCCAAACATGTTATAAGCATTACCTAATGAATCATCACAAAGATCCTCTAGGAGCAAGGTGGCACTACTTTTTGCAGATGGATTGCTGAGATGATAAAAAGCTTAAGGAAAAAATATCCACTGAGTTTTAGGAAGCCAGCATGAGATATAATGTTCCTCCGCAGTACTTAGTATTACTAATATTTAGTATGTTCAAGAAGAGCTCTCACTGCAGACTTCTGAGTGCTTGGCTTTTCAACTTGAATAGGCTTTTTGTGCATATGTCTGATTAAAGTGCAGTTAAAGCTCTGTCACATATATCATTAGCAGAAGTGGTTATTTAGACCCCAGTGGCTCAAGTGATTTCTGTTTTTAATTGTGTCTTAAGAGGAAGAAACACAATGGCACCCATTCTAGTTTTCAATGATTATATTCACAGTAGTAGAATAATGTGTTTAACTCATATTACAGCTCCTATTGTAGGAGCTGTCTTTGTCCAGAGCATCAGTTCACAGCACTGAAAGTGCAGCAAGGGCATAAAAGTAAATTTGTACTCTCTTGAGACCCTAGTCTGATGTGGAGTTGTGTAACCCCGGGCACGCAGAGGAGCTGCTCAACGCCTGCTCTGAGTTATGGCAGCTTTCACCTTGTTACCTTTACTGTTTCCCAACTTGGCACAGCTGCAACGCAGAGGATGTGGTGGTTGGACATGTCCTTCCTAGGAGCTCTCAGTATAAGGTCAATTAAGCTACGTTCCCCACAGTCACCTTGGCAGAAACAAAGACTGAAAAGACCCAGCAATGGGGCTTTTATGGCGCCATCCAACCTGGAGGAGGCTGACCAAACACCTTGATGTACACCTCAAAATAGCAAGCAACTGCTGAGGATATAGTGCCTAAGGGTTGACTTTTTTCCATGGTAGCTTCAGTAATCCAGTATGAGAGGCCTCACCAGCCAGGCAGAGAGCCAGTCACTAGCCCCTGGCAAGAGACGGTCTGTCTTGTACAAACAGATAAATGCTTTGCTGCCAGTTCGCACAGGTGGATACTTTCAAAGACACAGATTAGTTAGGTGCCCAGCTTCCTTTGACTATAGAGTGATCATGGAAGAGATTTAATGGAACATAATAAAAATCACAGTGGGAGTGATGGTTGTCTGTGGCTAGCCTCCAAATATGAAATATTCACAACCTTCTTAATTTCCAGGCATGCTACAGTCTAGACACACAAAAGCAGCAGCACACTAACAAAAGCAGGAATTAGTGTTCTGCACTAAAAATATCTGAAGTGAATGGATCAGCTGACAGTGGTGGGCCAGTAAGCATGATGCAGAGAGCAGTGTAAGGTCCATCCCTTCCTCATTAACAATGTCCGTT